TAGAAACCCTGAACACTTGACATTTATTATGTTTTTTCAAGAAAAAAGGACCAAATAACAGGACTTTGTGAGAAATAGTGGCAGAATAAAACATTATTTTTAAGCCTGATCTAGAAAGACTGTCATAGCAAATATTGAGTTCTTTAAGTCTCCCAAAGGTCAAGACTAAAAAGCATGTGAGAACTGGTTGCCATAATTTTGTTACTTATTGTCATGCTATAGAACCAAGAATTTATTTTGGATAGTCAAAAATTGTTTATGGTGCAGGAAAAGAGAGAATCAACGGATTTGATGAATTGTAATGTGCTTTCAAAGAATTTTCTCATATAACCCATATTTACACATTTACCTTATGAATCAAGTACTGTCATGACTGATTCTTTCGAATGGGAAAATTAGATCTCAAGAATGTCAAGTTACTAGCAAAAGGTGATACAATTAATAATTGGCAGACAAATCTTGAACTGAGGCTGTCTGACTCACTTAGTTCATCACATTAATCTCCATATTTCTTTTGCTGTGGACAGAGCTCAGGGGAATGTGAACGGCTAGATTTATATGAGATATTTTGTTTCCTAAATTTAGAAGTCCCATATTAATATGTGGATAATACTTATCTTCCTAATAGGCTGAATCTTCCCAGTAACTTTTCTTCTGTTTGGCAACTGTGACGCAGGCATAATAAAGGTAAATGAAATAGAACTAGAAGCTTTAAGAGAAGTTAGTTTGCAAAGGGCTGGAGCGACAGCACAATGGGTAGGGCGTTTGCCGTGCACACGGCCAATGTGGCCGACCTGAATTCCATTCCTCCGCCTTCCATTCCTCTGCTCCTCTCAGAGAGCCCCAAAAGCTACTGAGAGTATCTCGCCCGCTTGGCGAGATACCCGTGATATATTTGATATGCCAAACGCAGTAACAACAAGTCTCACAATATAACTGGGCCCGCTTGAGCAAATTGATGAACAACGGGAATGACAGTGAGAGTGACAGTTTGCAAAGAAGTTATTAGGAAGTTATCTGTCACTGTCACTGTCACTGTCGTCCCGTTGTTCATCGATTTTCTCGAGCGGGCCCAGTAATGTCTCTATTGGAGACTTTGTTGTTACTGTGTTTGGCATATCGAATACATCATGGGTAGTTTGCCAGGAAGTTATCAGGAGAGAAAAATTGTTTTACAAGAATATAAAAAGCCTGTACTGTGAATAGTACTTTAACCCTATGTTAACAGTTGAGAGAATTTACAAACCAAGGGTAGTGAATTCTATAATCTTTGCAGAATACATGCCAACTAGTTTTGCTAGTCAATTTAAAGCTGATTTATCAATATGAACAGAAAATGAAAAATATCTGGACATATGACAAAATCCACAGTTTGATATAAAGCAATAAAGCTGAATAACCAACACCATTCACTCCACTAAAGTAAATTCAGAAAAAAGGAAATAACTGAGAAAACGACTATCCAGTTTTTGGTAACATTTGAGTAGTTATTGCATCGATAAAACAAGAACAACTTGCTATAACAAAGATGAATTGGGGAATAAAAATTATTTTCTCTAGAGTTAGTTATAGAAAAGTTGGAAATGGACATTCATTGTATGTAACTAATTCAGGTTGAATCTTCAGTAATATATTAATATATATGGTCCTGGAGCCCAACCAGGAATGGTCCTTGAGCACAGAGTCATAACTGAACCCTAAACATGACTATGTCTGCCTCTAACTCCATGAATTACTTTCTCTGGACCTATATCTATTTTCTATATATGTACACTATCTCAGCACTTTAATTTATTCTTCTTAGTACTTAGGAAACTTTGAAACAATTTTATATTCTGTTTACTTTTTCATCTCCTATACCATAGTCTAATAAAATATAGGTTTATTAAAACAATGCAAATATCCATTTTATTCTGTTTTTAATCCCCAAAAGATATTTTTATTTGATTAGTGATTGAAATTAAAAGGTAAAGGTAAAGGTAAAGGCCCTCCTGTTGATCATCGATTTGTTCGAGTGGGCCCAGTAACGTCTCCATTGGAGACTTTGTTGTTACTGTGTCTGGCATATCGAATACTCTCGGTAGCTTGCCGGGCTCTCCGAGAGGGGTGGAGGAATCGAACTCGGGTCGGCCATGTTGGCTGCGTGCAAGGCAAACGCCCTACCCGCTGTGCTATTGCTCCAGCCCTCGATTGAAATGAAGTAATCAGTTAATATTTTGTGGGATTAGAATGTTTAAACTATTACTAATTATTGAATCAATAAAATTACTCAACACAAATAGAAAAAGAACAGAAAATAAACTGATAAAACCTAAGTACTAAATTATCGTACTCACACAATAACTTCCCTCCAAAATTTGGGTGGTGTTAAAACAACTAAAAAAAAATGTTTTGCAAACTGTGTCCTCCTGTTGTTCATCGATTTGCTTGAGCGGGTCCAGTAATTCCTCCATTGTGACAATTGTTACTGTGTTTGGTCATATTGAATAGCCAGGCTCTTCGGTGTGGGCGAGATACTCTCAGTAACTTGCCAGGCTCTCCGAGAGGGGTGGAGGAATCGAACTCCGGTCGGCCATGTTGGCCACTTGCAAGGCAAATGCCCTACCACTGTACTATCACTCCAGCCCTGGCTTATAAATAATCAGTTTTTGGGAAATAGTCTATAAAGTTTAACTTTTGCTATTGAAGAGATAGGTGCATGACTTGAAACAAGGAATTCTTAAACATAAAACAAAATGGGTCTGAGAAATAGTACAGGGGTAAGTCATTTGCCTTGCAGACAGCCGACTTCAATTTTATTGCTGGGATTACATGTGGTTCCCAGAGCACTGCCAGGAGTTATCCAGTTTCTAAGAAGGAGTCAGCCCTGAACACAGCTTGGTGTGGTCCAAAAACCAAACCAAGATAAACAATAGCAATAATAACAAATAAATAATTCTTAGAAACTGGATAACTACATGCAAAATAAAAAAGAAGAGTGAAAGAAAGAAATCAGAGCCCATCTGATGTCATATAAAGGTAGAGGTAAAGGTAAAGGCCCTCCCGTTGATCATCGATTTGCTCGAGCAGGCCCAGTAACGTCTCCATTGGAGACTTTGTTGTTACTGTGTTTGCCATATCGAATACTTCACGGGGAGCTTGCCAGGCTCTGCCGTGCGGGCGAGATACTCTCGGTAGCTTGCCGGGCTCTCCGAGAGGGACGGAGGAATCAAACTCGGGTTGGCCATGTTGGCTGCGTGCAAGGCAAACGCCCTACCGCTGTGATACAAATAATAATTAAGATGGATTAATAACTTTTAAGTAAAACTTTATAAAATACATGGAGAAAAATCTAAATAGAACTCTCTGTAATATTGCCCTCAGAGGGGTCTTTAGTAAAAAATATTAGAGTAAAAAATAAAAGCACTACACCAAACTAAAAAACTTCTGCACTAAAAAAAACTTCTGCACATGAGATCTAAATCTAAAAGCACCCTAATGATTGAAAGAAGTATTTTTACATCATATATCAGAAAATATACAAGACACTCTCAAAGCTAAATAATAACAGGGTCAAAACAAAGAACCACATCCAAAACATGCGGAAAGGAAATAAACAGACATTCTCTCAAAGAAGCTACAATTATGGCCAAAAGACATTTGAAGAAGTACTCATCATAATTACTGATTATAAGGGTTGTAACTCAGAGCAACACTGATATACCAGATCAGACTTGTAAGAATGGTCTGTATCAGAAAGTCTGTAAACAATAGTTTCTGGCAAGGATGTGGTGAAAACGGGAATGTTCATTATTTATTGTTGGGACAATTATCTGGTTCCGCTTTTTTGAAAAGCAGTATGGAGTCCTCAAAAAATTAAGACTTGAGTGTCCTTATGAATCTGTAATTCCATATTTCGACACCTACCTCAAGAACACAAAAGCATTAATGTTTAAGGACATATGCAAAGCTATGTTAATTACAATATTACTTATAAGAGACTATATCTGGAAACAATCCAAGTACTCAGAAACAGATGAGGGATAAAACCGTTCCAGTAGATATAGACAATGAATGTTATTAAGCTGTAAGAAAAGATGAAATCTTGCAGTTCACTACAACTTGAATGGATTTTGAAGGTACCATACTAACTGAAGTGAGTTAAAAAAAAGTATCAGATGATCTTTCTCATATACAGCATATAAATAAACAAAACAAGGGCTTAAGGAATCCACTGGGAAACAATCTTGAGGTTTGGTGGATAGAACTTTGAACTGCAGTTAGGGGGTAGGGTGAAGGAACTTTAGGATGATGGTGAAGGTATCTGCACACTCTGGTTGTTAACATGGTGTAGAAGTAATGCCAGAATAAAACAATAATATAAATGCTTTTGTAAACTATGATACCACAATAAGAATCAATTCAGAGTATAATTTTAAAATTAAGCAAATCTTGCTATTGATGAAAATATGTTGGTTAAAGTGAAGTTTTTGGAGCACAAGGGGAAATTTAGAGGCCATAAAAAAAGATTAGCCTTTTGACTATATAAGTTTTTGAAACTTTAATATAAATAGTGTCACACAATAAACAAAATCTTAAATAAGACAATTAAAAACTTTGAAAACAATTTCACTACATAAGACAAAGGACAAATTTCATTAATTTATAAACTGTCCTTACAAATCAGTGAGAAAATCATGATCAATCCAATTGAAAATTAGAAAATACAGATGTCAAAATGAGTTCTCTGCATCAATTTATATGATCATATGGTTTTTTAATATAGGAATATGTAAAATAAAATTTCATTAGAGATAGATCACAGTTCCAAATATAAAATCTAAAACAATGAGGCATTTAGAAGAAAACTTCTATAAGAGCAAGCTATGAACTATCAAGTATTTCTCAGGAAATACATTTTTTTTGTTATTTGATTTGATTCCCATTTTTTTTGTTAGTAAAAACACCATGAGGTATAGTTGTAGACTTACAAACTTTCATGCTTGGGTTTCGGTTATACAATGACGCACTCCATCAACCTTGAGATCAACCTGAGGCCACAGACGTCCCAAGTGCTGGCCAGAGACGCAGACAGGTGCATGTTTGTCAGCATGCAGATAATTACAACATGCAACATGCTAGTCGACAAAAAGCTTGCATTCAGTACATTTGAAATACATGTAAAAATAATTAGAGGCTGCTCCAAAAGCCAAAAACAGTAACCATAACGGGTCTCATTTTCCTGACCCTGAAAGATCCCCCAATATGCCATTGGGCTACACTATCATGCTACAGGGACAAATGGAGACATTACTGGTGCCCACTCGAGCAAATCGATGAACAACTGGACGACAAATGATCAAGTGATGGTTTTTATTTTTCTTTTATTGATATGGTGTATCATGTTGACTGACTTGCAAATGTTAATCTATCCTTGCATCACTGGGATAAATCCTACTTGGTCATTGTGTATGATCTTTTTTATTAGTCATTGGATTCTGTTTGCTAGTATTTTGTTGAGAAACTATGCATCTGTATTCATCAGAGATATTGGCTTGTATTTCTCTCTTTTTTGTGGTGTCTCTGATCACTTTGGATAAAAATTGAATGTTTAAATTAGGTAAAGGGATACATCTACCTTATATATCTATCTTATATATCTACTTATATCTACCTTATAAGCTTTCAGTATCTATAGTAGCACTGTAACACTGTTGTCCCATTGTTCAACAATTTGCTCAAGCAGGCACCAGTAACATCTCCATTTGTCCCTGTCGCATGCTAGTGTAGCCCAGTGGCATCTGCTCACCCCAGGAACACAAAGGGAGACCTGCTGTTACTGTTTTTGGCATATCGAATATGCCACAGAGAGATTGCCAGGCTTTGCCGTGTGGGTAGGATACTCTCTGTAACTTGCCTGGCTCTCCAAGAGGGACAAAGGAATTGAACCCAGGTCGGCTGAGTGCAAGGCAAATGCTCTACCCGTTATGCTATCGCTCCAGCCCAGTATCAATAATGCAAACCGTAATACCCCAATGGAAAGAGAGAAAGACAGAGAGACAAAGATAGAGAAGAAAAGTGCCTGCCTTTGGTGTGGGGGCAGGAGGGATGCTGGGGACTTTGGTGGTGGGAAATGTATAATGGAAAATGTGTAACTGGTGAAGGGATAGGTGTTAGAAAATTATGACTGAAATCCAATCATGAACAACTTTGTAATTTTATATCTCACTGTAATTCAAATAATACATGTTAAAAATTTAGAAAATATAGGTTCCTCTCTGGGCACGCGCAGCTAGAAACAGCCCCTAGACAGCCGGTTTTCAACCCCTGATCCGCGTGGGACGGGCACAGAGGCCCAGCTCTGGGCAACAAAGCTGAACGGCTTCAATTTCAACAGGTACAGCCCGCCCCCAAGGGCCTGGGTTCCTCTCTGGGCACGCGCAGCTAGAAACAGCCCCTAGACAGCCGGTTTTCAACCCCTGATCCGCGTGGGACGAGCACAGAGGCCCAGCTCTGGGCAACAAAGCTGAACGGCTCCAATTTCAACAGGAAAAGCCCGCCCCCAAGGGCCTGGGTTCCTCTCTGGGCACGCGCAGCTAGAAACAGCCCCTAGACAGCCGGTTTTCAACCCCTGATCCGCGTGGGACGGGCACAGAGGCCCAGCTCTGGGCAACAAAGCTGAACGGCTCCAATTCCAAACAGGAGACATTCCCAACTCCTCGCCCAGTGCCAGGGATTTTTTCCGGAGCCGCGGCCGCGTTAGCCGCGGCTCCGGAAAAAATATTTTCCCACTACATATGCCATAGGAACCATAAGCTAACTTCTTAGATGGAAACTTCTCTATTTTAGCTCAGCCACTAGAAACACAGTTGCCAATAACTCATAAGCCTATCTTAACTCACACTGCATATCAAGCAGAATAGTAACACTAAACGTGAAGGACTAAACCACACCTCTCACAATGGTAAAGCAACGCAAAAGCCCACCAAACTTTCATATTGAAGAGTCTAGCCCAGATGACACAAACAGTACTGTAGTGTTCGACAACCTCTCTGACAAGGAATTCAGAAGGGAGCTACTTAGGATGCTTAGGGAATTAAAAGAAACAATGGAAACCAATGCCAATAGAAGACAAGAGGATCTGAAGGCAGAAATGAGGAAAATGCAATCAGAAATGTCAGACCTGAAAAATCTCGTAGGCGAATTGAAAAACTCAGTGGAAGGACTCAGCAGCAGAGTAAGAGCGGCTGAGAACAGAATCAGTGAGCTCGAAGATGAAGTTCAGAGACTCTCCAGAAAAGAGCAGAAAATGGAAAAGAGACTCACAATTCGGGAACAGATGGCAAGAGAAGATCGGGATGAAGCCAAGAGGGGTAACATAAGAATTATTGGAGTCCCAGAGGGACAGGAAGAAAACCTCGATGAAGAAGAAACTGTCAAAGAAATCATTGCTACAACATTTCCAGAGCTGAAGAAAACTTGTGACCACATTCAGGAGGCCCGAAGGGTACCAGCTAGAAGAAATCCGAATAAAAATACCCCAAGACACATTCTGATCAAAATGACCAAAACCTTAGACAGAGACAAAATTCTGAAAGCAGCAAGATCGAAGAAAGAAATCTCTTACAAAGGAGCATCCTTAAAATTCACAGCTGATTTTTCTGATGAAACCCTCATGGCCCGAAAACAGTGGTGGGACATAGTAAAAAAACTCAATGAAATAAATGCCTCCCCCAAAATACTTTTCCCAGCAAGACTCTCATTCATAATAGAAGGAACAACACACAGTTTCACAGACAAACAACAGCTCAGGAACTTCATAGACTCAAAACCATGGTTACAAGAACAACTAAATGGGCTACTTTAAGGCAAGAAAGGCCCCTCAAATACACCCAATTTTAACATAACAATGGGACAAAATCCCATAACAATAATCTCTCTCAATGTCAATGGGCTAAACGCACCAATTAAAAGACATAGAGTGGCAGGATGGATTAGAAAATTGAACCCAACATTCTGCTGCCTGCAAGAAACGCATCTCAATAGTCAAAGCAAACACAGACTCAGAGTCAAAGGCTGGAAAACAATCCTACAGGCAAACAGCTCCCATAAAAAAGCTGGGGTAGCCATCCTTATATCAGACCACATCGATTTCAGAGTGAGGAAGGTCATAAGAGACAGTGAAGGCCATTTCTTATTGATCAGAGGATCTGATCAGAGGAACAATGGAAGAAAGGGACTTAGTAGATATATACAGGACACTTCATCCACAAAAAGCTGAATACACATTCTTCTCAAGCGTACATGGAACATTCTCCAAGATAGACCACATGCTGAGCCACAAAACATGCCTCCATAAAATTAAGAAGGTAGAGATTGTATCAACAATCTTCTCAGACCATAATGCGCTGAAATTAGAAGTAAATCACACACAAAAACAGAAAACTAAATCAAACACCTGGAAATTAAACAGTGCACTATTGAACAACGAGTGGATTAGACAGGAAATCAAAGAGGAAATCAAAAGATTCCTAGAAACGAATGAAAATGAGAACACGAGTTACCAAAACTTATGGGACACAGCAAAGGCTGTGTTAAGAGGAAAGTTTATAGCTCTACAAGCATTCCTCAGGAAGGAGGAGAGAGCACACATAAGTAACCTAACCTCACAGCTTAAGAACTTGGAGAAGGACCAAAAAAAGGAGCACAACCCGAACAGGAGAAAGGAAATAATAAAACTCAGAGCAGAGATTAACGAGATGGAAACCCAAAAAACAATCCGAAAGATCAATGAAACCAAGAGCTGGTTCTTCGAGAAAATTAACAAGATCGATAAGCCTCTAGCAAAACTCACAAAGAAAGGGAGAGAGAAAACCCTAATAAACCGAATCAGAAATGAAAAGGGGGTCATTACAACAGAAACCACAGAAATTCAGAGGATCCTCAGGGAGTACTTTGAGAAGCTTTATGCCACGGAACATCAAAACCTCGAGGAAATGGATAAATTCCTAGACTCCTACAGACTCCCAAGGCTGAACCAAGAAGACCTGGAATACCTGAACAGACCTATCACCATCAAGGAAATTGAAATGGTAATAAAAAGTCTCCCCAAGCACAAAAGTCCTGGCCCGGATGGATTCACTAGTGAATTCTTCCAAATCTTTAAAGAGGACTTACTCCCAATGCTCTTTAAGCTTTTCCACGAAATTGAAATATCAAAAACACTTCCAAACAGTTTCTACGAAGCAAATATCACACTGATACCAAAAGCAGACAGAGATACCACAAAGAAAGAGAATTACAGGCCGATATCCCTGATGAACACAGATGCAAAGATCCTCAACAAACTACTAGCAAATAGAATCCAACTACTCATTAAAAAGATCATACACCATGACCAAGTAGGATTCATCCCAGGGATGCAAGGATGGTTTAACATTCGGAAATCAATCAACATAATCCACCATATCAACAAAAGAAAAGATAAAAAGCATATGATCATATCAATAGATGCAGAGAAAGCATTTGATAAGATGCAGCACCCCTTTATGATGAAAACCCTAGCCAAAATGGGTATAGAGGGGACCTTCCTCAACATAATTAAAGCCATCTACCACAAGCCTACAGCAAGCATCATCCTCAACGGGGAAAAACTGAGAGCCTTCCCTCTAAGATCAGGGATGAGACAGGGATGCCCACTCTCTCCACTGCTGTTCAATATAGTACTGGAAGTACTAGCAATAGCGATGAGGCAAGAAAAAGCTATTAAGGGCATTCAGGTAGGAAAGGAAGAAATCAAGCTCTCACTATTCGCAGATGATATGATACTCTACTTAGAGAACCCAATAACTTCCACCAAAAAACTCCTAGAAACAATAGACTCGTATAGTAAAGTTGCAGGTTATAAAATCAATACCCAAAAGTCCATGGCTTTCCTATACGCAAACAGTGAGAGAGAAGAAAGCAACATGAAAAAAACAATCCCATTCACAATTGTGCCCCAGAAAATCAAGTACCTAGGAATCAGCTTAACTAAGGAAGTAAAGGACCTGTACAAAGAAAACTACAAAACGCTACTTCAGGAAATAAAAGAGGACATGAGGAAATGGAAAGATATCCCCTGCTCATGGGTCGGGAGACTTAACATTGTCAAAATGGCAATACTACCGAAAGCATTGTA